GTTCCCTGAGAGACAAAATAGTCCCCAGTTGAGAACCACTGCTGTAATCTGAAAGCCTATCAACAGTGGAGAGGCATCACTGATAGCCCTGAGGAAGGGTCACCAATGCAACAAAGTCTGTCAATCAGGAGTGGGCCTGAGTCATAAGACCAGAGGACTAAATCTTGGCAGGAGCCCCAAGTGTGGCACGCAGTGGCAGCCTCTGCATCAGAAACTGTCTTTTACTTGGTGACCAGCCTGTCACAATGGCAACTTGAGGAGTGGGCTTGACCAGAAGCTTGGATTCAATCAGTCTCATCAGAAAAAGGGCCGGTATCGTCAACACGAGTGACCCAGATGGTCCAATCGGCAGCCACGATTCATTTCCACAGTTCAAGCCTCCCCTAAAGAGGTGTCTTTCATCTGCAACCTGTAGTTTTCCAAGTGGCAGACCAAACCACTAGGCCATTGACAACAGCCCAAGACATGACAACGTAACAAACTTCATCAAGGGAGTGCTGGCCAGAGCTGCAAGAATAGCCTTGAGTCCTGCCCACTGGATGGAGCAACCAGGTGAGCTTTCAGTACAGCAGCCACACCACCAGCTTAGCCGAAGCATCAGTGAACTAGCCCAGGCATTTGGAGGACGCTGTGCAAGGGCCCCGCTGAGCCAGTGGCTTTGCTTCAGGCAGCAGAGGGGGAGATAGTTTCCCCCAGAGTGGCAGCTGCCACCCCAACATGTGAAATGATGTGATGCCATGGCCAGGCTGGCTGCTCTTGCACACACCATTTCCACTCAGCCAGCCGGGCCCTCTAGTGCTGCAAACACTATCTGCATACCATAGGAGTCCAAGAAGATTCCAGGCCTCCTCCTGGTGGTGGGCAGGGCTGAAGGGACAGTGGTTTTCCCTTGACTCGCAGAGGAACTGAACTTTGTGAATCTGCTCACATAGTCCCAAGAAACTTTACTTGGCAAGCAGACCCCTGACTTCTGTTGGGGTTTATCAGCCACCCTGCTGGCAGAGGTGTGATTGTACGGTGGTCAGGCCCCCGGGGGGCTTGTCAACCAACATTGAGACAGCTTCTGAGTTGTCAACCAGCGGAACATCACTTATAGAGTGAACACCTGGCATGTCAGTGGGTAGAACCCTCACTGGTGACAAAGGGCAGGGGCGTTTGTCTCACTAGCACTTTCTATGTGCAGCTCTGCCCCCAGTGGGAGGAAGAGGGAGGCTCCTGCACAGAGTGGAAATCTCACTTAACATTCACTTCCTTGATGTTTGTTATTTAGGAAAAATTCTCTGGACACAATCACCAAGTTTCAGGACTTTTTATACCTAGCCCTCTCCTACCGTTTCTATGATGGTTCAAAACAGGAAAATATTTTGTTCCATTTTCTTACCTTCTTAGATTTGTCCGTGATCTGCTCCACCACTGCTCTCCCTGTCAGTTTCCATTGTGTCTCATGACACTGGGGTTGGTCATTTGCATCTCAGTCTTTTTTTATTTAGCTGGTCTTATTAAAATGCAAAGGCAGTAAAGCTGGTGTCTTCAGCTCATGCCTTCTTAGAAACTGCAGTAATACGGGCAGCAGAGAGAGGAGCATGTTACAGGGACAAAGCGTCTTCTAAGTGCTTCTGATGCTCTCCCCCCATTCAGTCATCCCCTGTTTGATGAAGGAAACCTCTTTCTTTCAAGCAGATATTTCCCTTCTCTTAACATGAATTATTAGCAACTAACCACGGCTGCACAATTTTATTCTTCTCGCTGAGATGGCCTGCAGCAATCAGGTCACAGAGACTCAGTTAAAACATATTCTATTAAAATACTCCAGTAATGGATTTCAAAAGGAACTTGTGTTATTAAATGAACAAAATATTGTAAACTTGGATTTAGACAACAAGGTATAACAAAGACTTCCTGACAGAGGGCTCTAGGATTCTGGGTCTCATCCTTCTGCAGATCAAAAACCATCCCTCCCTTCCCCTGGAGTCTATGAAGAAGTGCTTCAATGACTATTTTTAAATTTTCTTTAGCTACTAAGAGCCTATTAATATATTTCACCTGCTTTTGGAAATCCTGGTCTTAAAGGACCACTGTTATAACAGCAATTATATAATTAAAACAACAGGATATAAAGACTGTCTATTACAGGTTTTTATTGGGTGTTGAGAAAAGCTGAGATATTTTTCAAAAACTGGAAAGTTGGACTGGGAAACATCTTGAACTTACATCCAGCACCACTTTATGCCACCCTGCAGAGAAGGCAAACCTCAATTCCTGTGCTTCATAGGTGGGGGAGGGAAAGGGCAAAATTAGCAATGTGGTTTTGAAGGCTATTTCTGATATTTCATAAATTACAGTAGAAATTGTTCACAGGTTAACTTGAGTTTCCTTATGTGAATAATGTGTCTGCTGTATGTGGCATAGTACAGGAATGTTGGTTACTCCGTGTTCATTGTTATATTGATTCATCCATTCATTGGATGAACATTATTAGACAATTTGACAGGGCGCTGTGCTGCAGGTACCAAGCTAACCACACAATCTCCTACTTCTATCCTCGAGGAAACCATGGTCATTTTGAGGAAGCAAATTACCCATGAGCTGTCTATAACATTACTAGAATTTCTTGGATATGACTAAGATCCAAACGCCATTAGCAGACAAGAAGTCACAGCATCTCACTAGGACACACGCAGGCCCGGACTGCCATTGGGCCGACTTAACAATGCAGCCAATGTAAAGGCCTGTGTGCGGGGTCTTGCCCACTTCACTTTACGCTCTGAGCACCTCAAACAGGATGGCAATTCTTGTAAATTCATAATATTATTTTGAGCTCTTAGTACCTATAGATTACTAATTAAAATCTGAATCAGTATTCAAATGACACAATAAAGATAACATAAATGGATTGAATCAAGGGTTTCTTAACAAATGCAGGGCGTTTAGTTGGATAAAAATCATTCAAAACAGGTGTCTAAGAGGGAGGTATGGAAAGATGTTTTTAAACGACTCTGGCTTGGCTACGCCAACATTGGGGCACTGCTGGTCACAGTTCTTTCTGTGAATGCGAACACATAGTACGTGTGATGCTACGTCTGGGAGTTGTTGCTGATGGTTTTAAAATTCAGTTGGATGAAGCCTCAGTAAACAGCAGACACGCACATTCCTTAGCTTGGTTGTTCCAGGATGGAAAGCTGAGCGTCAGCGTTCTCTGTCCCTCTTCTGGCGTCTGACATCCCAAAGGGCTCAGGTCCCCCTTCACGTTTGCTCATTTATTACTTGAGCAGACACTTTCTGAGCATGTTCTCTGTGTCAGGATTGTCACTAGCACTGAGGACACAAATATAAAAGATGTAGAAGGACCTGAATCAACAATGGATGGTTGGAGTGCAGAGTGGTGAGGAGGTTAAGGGCTGTAGACGGACCTGACACTGGAGGGACCAGAAGGAGCCCCTGGACCGGGTGGCATGAAGTAACTGCTGAGAAAGGAGAGGAAAGAGTTGTCTGCAAAAGATGGCACAAATCCGTTCAGGAAATTGCCAGAAAAGACAGCAAGGCAAAGGGAAAATTTCACAGCCCTGGGATCTGATCCAAGGTTAGAATTCTGCTTCCACCGCAAGCGTGCAACTTTGGACAAATTACTTAGCCTTTCTGAAGTTCAGTTTCCTTCTCTGAAATGCCCAGATCATAGTAGTAGCTCCCGGGGTACTTGTAAGGGTTGTTACATGATGAAATGTGGTGAGTTGGTAACTGGTAGCTATCATCGTTCGTTCAGTCCTGTGGAACAAAGTGTGAGCAACGTGTGGTAGAAGATGAGGCTGAAAGGGAGAGAACAAGGGCCTTTTTATGGTTTTTATTTTGCTACGATGGCAGGGCCACTGCAGAAGTTCAAGCACAGAAGAGACGCCATCTGTATTTTAGTGAAATTAATCTGACAGCAATGTGGAGAACAATTTTAGGAGCAAGACTAAGTCGGAGATTCAAGTTAAAAATCTGTCCCCATGTTGGTGGGGAGTGACCTATGCTGAATGGAAGCAGCGGGATGGCAGTGGGGAGAAAAGGATGGAGTGGTCCTCGGGAGGAAGAGATGGTCAGGGTTCCATGAAACACTTGACATAAGATATTAGTGCAGAGCAAAGGGTGGAGAGAGGGAAGGGTGGGAGGGAAGAAGGGGGGTGGGGGAGGACAAGAGGTCAGCAAGGTAGACCGTGAAAGGCATCATCCGATATAGAAGTAAGGGTTCAGTGAGTGACCTCGGACAAAGCAGTTTCATGTGCCTGTGAAGTGATCACAACTTCTCCCAAATAGCGTACACAATATATATATGGCCAACTATATTTCAATTCTCTCTCCAGTTAATTCTAACAATGTAGAGTCAACATTCAAGCAAATTCAAGACCTCCAGAACCCACAAACACGCCCTGGACACCCATATGTTTCACCTTCAGTTCTTACTGAATAAATTGTCCAAAATGTAAAGTGAGTGTTTAATTTTTAATTGCTCATGTTTAATTGCCCACAATTAATGATAACAAAAATGAAATTTTTTAAATTTATCAATTAAATCAGCAAACATTTTGAGCTGATTTTTTACTTGAGTTCTCACTAAATTACATTCCGGGTGATGGGATTCAGAAAATGCTATGCCAAAATATGGTGACTTGGCATTTAAATATTTTAAGCTGAAGGAGTGGTAGGACTCTCTGACCTCCCTCTTCTCCACTGAAGCAGGTCATAAGACCCTCACGTGAGAGGTGCCCTCCTTATACCTGAAGGAAAGGAGCATCCTTTTCTGAGAGGCATCCTAACAAACAGGCTTTCTTGAGTTTCCCCCAGCTGACTACTGTCAGCTCATACAATTTCGTCTTATCATGTTTTTCCACCACTTTCTACTATTCGTAAAATCTAGTCCAAAAATGCTCAGGCTTAACTGTTCGTTCAGGTCTTCATTTTCTTGTGAAGACCCCCATGTCGTGTAAAACTTATATTGAATAAATTTATACACTTTTCTCCTGTTAATCTATCTTTGTCAGTTTAATTTTCAGACCCAGCAAGGGCCCCTAGGAGGGTCAAGGAAAACGTTTCCCTCCCCTAGAATGGTAAAGATCAGATTTTTTAAAAAAATGGGGATATTTTCTTGCTCAATAATTCATCAGTCTTTCTATCTAGAACAATGTGGCAAAAATGGTAACAATTATTTACAGAGGTTAAAAGTCATTGAAAAATATTTTCAGCCTAGGGTTTGGTTGTTCCTAATATTGCTAGAGCAAGAAGAACAGGGGGCATTAATAGATGTTTGCTGTGATCACGTGTTAAAAATGGAATTAAATCAGTAGTATGACAGAAAAAAGAAATTCCAAAGCTACGTCTCTGTCAGTTATGTGGAGATAATCAATTACGAATTTCACAACTTCTTCATACGTCTAAAGTAATGAAATTAATGTTTTGAACAAAATTTAAAAAATTTCTAAAAATTACTTTCAAATTCCTTTCTTTTGGACTTGAAATGATGTTTACACAAAATTTATTCAATCAGCATATTCAGAAGTAATTTATTCCTTTTAGTTTCTTGTTGAAATGTCATTAAAATGTGCATACTAGCTGTTTATATGTTTACTATCAAATATAATTTTTTTTCCATGGTTAATGGATAAAAAGATTACTCCTATAATAGTAAAAGGAAGTATAAATCATTCTCCTAGAGGAATAAGTGACAAACATTAATGTGATGTCCAGGAAGAAAGCAATATCTTTTTAAGTGTAAAAGAAATTAGCATCGTGTGCTAGTAATGTGCTTTTAAGAATTATATGCTGTTAGCAGTAAGTATTTTCTGATCTGCAGATGCAAAAGTTATATATTTATTTTTTGTTATTTGGTGTGTCAATGTATTTACAAAGAGAAATTAAAGACTATAAGATGAATATTTTATTTAATATTTGGAAAGAAAACACTGTAACATAAATTAAGACTATGTAATAGGGTTTATCTACTTAGAGTAGTCACCTCTCTATTCCTCTGTACTCTCTTGCCACAGGCCCTTGGCATATGCTGTTCCTGTTGTCTAGAAAACTGTTCCTGCCTTCCTGCCCTCACACTATACCCAACCCTGCTCCCTTTTCTGGGTGTGTATATACACCCAAGAAACAGAAGGAGATACACAGCCATGCCTACCTATATCATTGCTAGCACCCCAGGGGGCTTCTGTGTGCTCTCCACAATTATAACCTCCTCATTCCTTCCTCAGGTCACCGTCACCCTGGTTTTGTGACAAGTACTTCTCTGTGCTTCTGCTTATAACTTTACCAACTGTATGCATCCCTATACCCATCATCCAGTTCTGCCTGTTTTTGGAACTTTATGTGGATTGCAAGGATAAAAGTGCTATTTTGCACCTTGCTTCCCTCCCTGAATACTGAAATCCATCATTGTTATTGTGCTTAGCTGCATTTTTATTCTTTTCTATTGGTGTATAATACTCCATTACATGGATATATCACAATTCATTTATTTATTTTTACTTGTGAAAGATATTTGGGCCTCTTGCCCTGTTTTCTGGTTTGGGGTTATTTCGAAAACACTGCTGTGAAGGTTCTTGCACAGGTATGCTGGTGTGCACATGCAGTCTCTCTGGGACACACCCCCAACAGAGGGACTGCTGGGCGTGGGGGTGCACCTCTCAGTTCTGAGAGATGATGCAGAGCTACCTTACAAAGCCACGGTTCTAGTTTGCATTCTCAGAAGCACTGCAAGTGTTCCAATTGATCTACTTTCTCACCAACACTTGGTATTTTCAGATTTTTAAATTCTTTCTAATGGGTTTGTATATTTAATGGTACCTTACTGTGGTTTTAATTTGCATTTCTTTTCTAATATTATTAAGAAAAATCAGAGGCCCTTTCCTTATGTTTATTGGTCACTTGGATTTCCTCATTGGTGGAGTACATCTTCCAGCCTTTTGCTCATTTTTTCCAGCTGTTCTTTTTCTTATTGGTATCTAGGCAGTCTTTAGTCCTTTGCTGTTAATATCTTCTTCTCCTCGGTGACTTGCCTTTCACTCTTCTAATGGTGTTTATTTTTTTTAAATAGAAGTTTTTAATTTTAATGTAGTACAGTTTTTCAGTATTTTATTTTATGTTCACTGCTATTTGTGTTCTAAGACGTTTTGTATAATGAAGGGGAAAAATAGATTCTCTGGTATTGTCTTCTAAAGCCCTTATAGCTTTGTTTTTCACGTTTAAGTGTACATCATTTCTTGAATTGATTTTCTTAAATAGTGTGAGATAAGAGATAGTTAATATTTTTTTTCCATATGGATACAAAACGCCCCAACATCATCAATTTGTTGGTGCCAGCTCTGTCATATATCAAGTATCAATTAATGCAGTTTCTGGGCTCTCTATTCTGTGCCTCTGTTCTATTTGTCTATCCCTAAACTTAAGCCAAGCTATTGAATTTATTATAGCTTTATTATCAATGCTAATAGCAGGGACAGCAAGTCTTCTCTCCTTGTTTGTCTTTAGCTATTCTAGTGCTTCTGCATTTTGATATGAATTTTAAAAATGATTTATCAAATTCTACAAGACACCTGCTCCAGTTTTGACTGAAATTTGTATTAACATCTTTACCTGATGGAATCTTCCAATCAATATGCATGGTGTATATCCCCATGTATCTAGATCTCTTTCATATATCAAAACAAAGTTATTTTCTTTTTTCTGTAGAAGTCTTGCGTATCTTTTGTTAGATTCATTACTAGGTATTTGATGTTTTTTATTTGCAGGGAAAGATTTGCCCTAAGCTAACATCTGTTGTCAATCTTCTTCCTTTTTTCTCCTCCCACCCCCACAGCCCAAAGCCCCAGTACATAGTTGTGAATAGTTGTAAGTTCTTCTGGTTTTTCTATGTGAGCCGCCGCCACAGCACGACTACTGACAGACAAGTGGTGCGGTTCCATGCCTGGGGAACTGAACCCGGGGAGCCAAATTGGAACATGCCGAACTTGAACTGCTAGGGCATCAGGGCTGGATCTAGGTATTTGGTATTTTTAATGCTATTGCAACATGGCAGAATATGCCCCCCCCACACATGCCACTTAGGGATAAGGATTATTTTGAACTAAAGGCACTTGAAAACAACAGGTGCAAGAGGGGCCCTCTGGCCTCCCCTTCCTCCCTGAAAGCCAGAGATAAAACTCCCCTGTGAAAGATGCCCTCCCTGTACCAGGAGGAAAGAAACGTTCTTATTCCCAGAGCTGAGGAGTTCTGGCCAAGAAAATGTCGTGCAAACACATCACGTTAACGTAACTCTTGTCTTCCTTTAGTCTCCCGTATATTTTAGTTACTTTTCCATAATTGCTTCTTTTTGTTTAATCTGTTACGTACGTGCTTAGATTTTGCCACCTCTTCAGGTCTTTATTTCTTATGGAATCTCTTGTATCACCTAAAACTTATATCCAATAAATGTATGTGCTTTTCTCTTGTTAATCTGTGTTTTGTTTCAGAGCCCCAGCTGAAACCCCAAGATAAGTGAAGAAAAATTTTACTTCTCCTATACAGTAGGAAACAGCAAAATTTTAATTTTGTTTTCTAATAGTGTTTTTGTGATAGATGAGGTTACAATTGATTTTTTATATTTAGCAGCCTTCTTAAACTCTCATTAATTCTAATTCATCATCTAACTCTCATCATAACCCACGCCTTGTGTTAGTATGGCTGTGACCAGGCAGAGGAAACCATTTTTGAAGCTTCTGGCCAAAGCGCACAGCGCCCAGTGATAGAGGCAGGCATCGTCAAGTCTCTGATCCTTTCTCCACTTATCAGGACTTGCTGGTGGCACTATGAGAGCCACACACTGGGGTGTAGCCCGGTATGAGTGACGGACGGATTTCAGGGAGCAGGATCGAGGGCAGGGGTGGGATTCACAAAACTTTTATAAAACCTCGGTGAGAAAGGGGCTATCTGATGAATTTAGATTTCTTGATATTCCATGCCCTTATAGAACCATGATCTTCCTACTCTCTGAAATGTCCTTCCTTTCTTTCCTATTTTTTCATACAAAACCAATTTAAATGTCTCTCTTACAAGGAAAATAACTCTATACCTCCAGAGTTAGTTGCTCTGTGCTCCAAGCACCCTCACTAACTTTATTCTTATCCCTTAATGGCACACATGATGGGATAGTGTGGTATATCTGTACCCCTGTTTCACCCCCAGACTGTTAGCCTTTTAAGGGCAGGCCTGTGATTCCTGTACCAACACTGCCCCAGACAGGAAATAAGTTCACATAAATCATAAACATGTTGAATACAAAGTTATATGCACTGGTTTTATTTTGACTGTGTCTCACTGACATTAAATCTCGGAAGCTGTTTTTTGGGGGAGGGGAGAGTTAGAACTCTTTATTTCCATTAAGGCTACATGAACCTTGTGACTATTAAAGACTTACAAGTGTATAAGTCTCTCTCTCTCTCACACACACATACGCACACACACAAATAAGTAGAAATATTTTTCTAAAATGTGATTTGAGGCAGAGAATACACCAAATATATATTAAATGGAGAAAGAGATGTAAATATTTTATGATTAACTTAAGATGTAGTGTACATATGAAAATAAAACGATCATTGAAGGCCAAAGCTATTAAAACTTCACACTTGGAGAAAACGCTATATTCTTGGTAAAAGCGCCTAAGATTGTTTCAAATCACCAAGTCATATTTTTCGTTTCATATTTAATAAGATTGGACATAGGTTAGGGAGAGATGTTAAAGAGAAAAGATCAGGGCTGTGATTGCACAAGAATCTTGGTTCACCGTGGGTCTTTCTTGTCTGAAATAATTTCCTTGTACATAAAATGAGGGTTGGAGTTGAACCACATGATCCTAAAATCTCTCTCAGCTCTAGTGTTATAGAAATCTAGGAGGAACCCACATAAGTATTTAAGTGGAAAGAAAAGAAAGAAAGAAAGGGAGGGAGGAAGGAAGGGAGGGAGAGAGGGAGGGAGGGAGGAAGGAAGGCAGGCAGGAAGGAAGGAAGTGAGCCTAGAGTTATATTTCCTAAATGGCATGTTAAACTATGACATTTCTAAATTATGCTGCAAGGCAATTAAAAATAACACTAAGTTCACGCTTGTTGGAAAGTCTCCAGTGTAAAAACTCCGCTTGACATTTGTTGGGTTTTGTGGTTTGCAAAAAGGTCTAGTTCTAATTTTAGAGCCACGTAAAGAACTTTCTATCTGGAATTATATAAAAACATGACCTTGATCTTAGAGGTAATGTTTTCTACAATCATCTTTGGAAAGGATTGATAAAACCCTTTCGTTGAATTGACTATTTGATGAAAACAAATAATTCCACGACTTCAAAGACTCATTTTTTTTTAAGATTTTATTTATTTTATTTTTTCCCCCCAAAGCCCCAGTGGATAGTTGTATGTCGTAGCTGCACATCCTTCTAGTTGCTGTATGCGGGACTCGGCCTCAGCATGGCCGGAGAAGCGGTGCGTCGGTGCTCGCCCGGGATCCGAACCCGGGCCGCCAGCAGCGGAGCGCGAGCACTTAACCGCTAAGCCACGGGGCCGGCCCCAAAGACTCATTTTTGTACATGTAGAACCAAGTAATTATTTGGTCTGAAATTTGATTCAAATGCTTTTGTCCACATCAGTAGACCAGATTACAGAACGCTTAGGGACTTGTGGCAAAGCAATAGCACACAACCTTCTGATGATGATCGGAAGAGAACATGTGCAGAAAACATAAATGGCTGCCAACAGAAAACAAATCGGCCACATTTTAGCAGTTGGCAAAAAAACTACTTACCTCTCCTGGCTTCAGATTTCTCCTCCACACAATAAGTGGTTAAGCTGAAGCAGACTTTCTTGAAGGAAGTTTCACAGAACACCAGTTTCACTGGATGTAATAGTGTTTGTGTGACTGTCAAATACATTTGGAGAATATTGCAATAAACGAAGGTGTTCTAGCGCAGTTACTCATGTGGTCTCACATGATTGGGAAACCCTGCACATCACATTCCACATTCCTCTCTGGAACATTCCTCTCTGGAGGGTGATATGAAGTGTTTCCCAAACTTTCCACATAAGATTATTTTAAAAGCCCCTCCTGATGTTGATGTTGCACAGATCAATCATTCCAAACCTTCCTATGATGTGGGGAACCCAAGGGCCAGCCCTGAGGTGGGCAGTTTCCCCACTTTAGGGTAACAGTCGCTGATCTCTGTGAGGTACTCTCATGCCTTCCTCTCACAGACAAGGAAGCTCCAGGACTCCCCTCTTGGTCTAAATGACTTCGAAGCCAGTTCCCTAAATCCAAAGAGGAGGGTCCCTCAGATTAATACTAAGCCCAATATAAACCAAGCCTAGGTTTGTAAGGGCTTTGAAGAATTACTAAGCTGCCCACCTGTCCTGCAGGTAACCCCATCTTTGTTCACAGTCTTGAGGAATGACCTAAGCTTTGTTTCGGTTTCCTCCTCCAGACCGTTACCTGTTTGCTGACTCCAGGAAAAGTGGTGCTGCCTGTTTGTGGGTGATGCAGGTACCATGATGTGGCAACAATGTTTTCTTATTTGAAAATTAAGTACTCCCAAGAAAATACATGCATGAACATATTATATACAAATAAAAAACAATGTAGGAATGAGTACACATATCGACATAAACAGAAGGAATCCCTGACTCGGTGGACTCGGTCATATGAGGCAATGTCTAGTGCTCTCCAGCCCTTCTTGTATTCAGTTATTAGGGAGTCCAGTCTTGTGCCTTCTCTTGAACTTCCTTCTTTGTTTTATACCAATAAACTAGTTCTTAACCTGACTACATTTTAGAAATACTGGGGAGCATTTAAAACGACCCTGGAGACTCTGACTTAATTGGTGGGGGGTAGAGGTGTGAACCAGGAGGCAGAAATCAGTATTCATTAAAAGCTTCCCCATCCCCCAGGAGGATTTTACCATGCAGTCAGGGGCGAGATTCATGGCCCATGATCAATGTCTCTCTGACAAGACCATCTTGTAAAGGTGATTGAGAGTAGTCATTCTTTTCCAGGGGGGAAGAAATATCACTGCCAGAACCACTGGTTCAGTAATTCTTTATAAAGGCCATTGTAATAGTCAGGGTTCTCCAGAGAAACAAAACAAATAGGATACACACACACACATACACACACACACAGAAACATATTTTCGGAGATTTATTATCAGGAATTGTCTCACACAATTATGGAGGCAGAGAAGTCTCCCAACCTGCCATCTGCAAGCTGAAGATTCAGGAAAACCAGTGGTAAATTCAGTCTGAGTCCAAAGGCCTGAGAACCAGGGGCGCCATCAGTGTAAATCCCAGTCCAAGAGCAGAAGATAAGATGAGATGTCCCAACTCCAGCAGCGAGGAAGGAAAAAACGGGCAAATTCCTTCTTTCTTCACCTTTTGTTCTATTCTGGCCCTCAACAGATTGGATGATGTCTGCCCACATTGGGGAGGGCAATTTACTTCACTGAGTCCACTGATGCAAATGCTCTTCTCATCTGGAAACACCCTCACAGACACATCCAGAAATAAAGTTTAATCTGGGCACCCCGTGGCCCAGTAAAACTGACACGTAAAATAAACCATCACAAGCATCCTACTTTGAAACAAACCTACATAAAGAAAAATAAGACTAACCTGTCTACCGCATAACTAGCAGCAATTTTATTGTTCAAATATATTTCTCTTGTTTAGGTAATGTTGGTTCAAGCATTACAAATGTACATATGTTTTAAAATGGATTTCTATTCCCATTCGCACTGTTCTAACCCTGGATTCGGAGTCAGAGACCTGACATCAACATTTTCCCCTGCCAGCTGGGTAATCTTGAACAAATCATATAGCTTCAAAAAGCCTCACCTTCCCTCTCTGCAGCGAGAGGTCACTAATAAATGTCCTAATTAACAAGTGAGGGTGGTGTGAGAATTGAGATAAGGTTTTTGTAAGTGCTTTGTACACTGTAAATTGCTATAGAAAAGAAAAGTCATCACCAATTATCATTTTTGCTTGGATCTATAATCTATAAATGAGAATTACTTTCTCAGCTTTGTCTATTCATGTGCAAACATCATTTCTATTTTTGTAGCATTGTGTTAGGTTTTTCACCATCCCGTAGATGCAGATTTGGCTCCTGATCTTTAGTACATTTCCTAATTAGTGCCAAGCACTGATGCTTTCCCCTAGTCTTAGAATAATGTGTCTCCAGTATATCCGAGTTTGCAAAGACACACATTTACTTGCGTCACAGTACGTGAAACTCTCACCCTCATAAATACTTCTTCCTGTGAACACAGGCCCTCAACTGCATACATGTCTTCAGGCCAGAGGTTCTAAAACCTGTATCAGGATCACCCAAAGCCCTTGTTAAAACAGACAGCTGGGGCCCACCCCCAGAGTTTCCGATCCAGTAGATCTGGGGTGAGACCCAACAATTTACATTTCTCACAAGTTCCCGGGTGATGCTGATGGCACTAGTCTGGGCACCACACTCTGAGAACCATAAAATAGGCAAACAACCATCAAAATAAATTAATTAAAATAAAGCTCTGGATATCTACAAATATCCAGATGTCTACATTATATTGATACCTGCTCCTCCTACTCTCAACCGAAGACCCTTGGACTTGAAGTTTTGGAGTTGCAAGTGAATATTAGTATTGATCATTGTTTTTGCTTGTAGTAGGGGAAAATAGTTTGATCTTCAAAACAAAGTAAAAAAAATCAAGGTGAAACATTGGGTCTTGAATTGATAATAAATAAGTTATCTGAGAGCTTTATAATTTGCATTACTTCTCAAATCTTAAAGACATGATTAGCGTTAGATTTGTATCACAATTTCCTGTTTGTTATAGACTCAGTCAAAAGGGTCTTGAAGTCCATCCAGGGGTGTAAAATAAGCTGTTACGATGCGTTTGATGGAGCTCTTGCTGCCATATTTGCACGTTAATTTTAAAGTAAAAAAAAAAAGGGGGAAATTGCCATCCCTTCTTTAGAGGGAAACCATGAATAAAGTAGCATCGACTATTACATGTAACATTATTTACATAAATTGGTGAACTCAGGAGGGGTTTACAACCTTGAACGTGTTAAAAGAAAATATAAAAGATTCTCTTCACATTCTGAAAGAAGAGAATCTTGGTTTCGAACAGTATTGGCTAAACAACAATTGACAGTCCCCATAAAAAGAAAATCAAGATAATCTTTTTAAAAATGCAAGTGTTCGCTGATGAAGCCTGTGCATTATTATGGCTGTCGATACAATGTTTGAAGATGAGACATAGCAACCTGCTCTCCTATCTCACACTGTCATGCTTCTCTCTTGGCCCCTTGCATGATGTCATTATGAGGGACATCTTTTGAAAATCAGCTTCAGCCTGAATCTTCTTGAAACCAAGAACAAAGAAGTTAAAAATCTTCCCTAGAGCAAAAACTTTGAGATAGCTTTGCTAACTGCAGCTGTGCATATTCAGCATGATCAACTGTGGTTCAAAACTAACCAGGTCTTTCTGTCCCTTGTTAGTATATGAGTGAATTGTCTTTCCCAGGAAGTCAAGGTCCAGATGTCCAAGGTTCAAATTTGGTCCAAGGCCAAAAGCAGGCTGGCAATGAAAACTAACCAGAAAAGTCCAGAGAGTCAAGGGAAAAGAAATTCAGCCTTCAAGGCCAAATACGGGCTGGTGGGAAGGTGACAGCCAACAAGGCCACATGCTCTGCCTCCCCTACCTAAAACGCCAGCACACGCTCTCCCTCCCCTACCTAAAACCCCAGCACACGTTCCCCTTCCCCTACCTAAAACCCCAGCACACGCTCCCCCTCCCCTACCTAAAACCCCAGCACACGCTCCCCCTCCCCTACCTAAAACCCCAGCACATGCTCCCCCTCCCCTACCTAAAACCCCAGATAAAAACCCCTACCTTTTTCTCTTTGAGGTGGTGGATCTGAGTTCTAACTCCCATCTCCTCATCTGGCTGCCTTTCAATAGTAAACCTCTTTCCCTGCCACAAGCCTGGTTTTTCAGTTTTTTTTTTTTTTTTCTTTATTGGCCCTCCTGTGCAGTGGGTAAACGAACCTGTGTTTCTCTTTGGTAACGTTCCAAGACCCTTTATTTCAGTTCTCCTGATTATCACTGTGATTTAGCACTCATAAAGTTGAAACCCTTAATGTTTATTGAGCCCCAGGGAGGAGCTTGCTGTAGGACCTGCATAAGAATCCAAACATTGCAAGACTTGGAAGTGACTCCCTTGAGGAAAATGCAGCATCCTTTGTGGCAAGATAAGAAACTGCCTTCCTGGTCTGTGGTGGATTTTACTGTGTGCTTATCAAGGTCCTGCTATTTGCTAGATAATGATGGTGGTGGCCAAGAACATTATGCCATTTGGGTCTTTGTAGGCAAACTGCCTACCACTTGATTTAAATTCCCATCCCAGATTGGCAACCACACCCCTCCAGTGGCTATCATCTGCTGCCTAGGCTGAGATGACTGACTTGTGTTTAAAGCCAATGTTGTCTCTCTGGAATCTCACCTTCCTTCTTTAAGAGTACCTTTTTAAAAAAATTATTTTTGTAAGTGTGCTAAAGTAATTTTATTTATCTCAGCACAGACTAGGAGTGGGTTTAAATTTTCAGTAGGAAGAATTTCCCATTTTTCAGATGAACTGGGCCCAGGATGAACAGTGTGAGGGTTTCCCAGTCTCTATCTACAGGTCCATCTTTTCCTCTTGTATTGTGGTGGCTATCTATTTCCATATAACCAACTACCTCAGAAGCTAGTGGCTTACATCAACAACCTAAAATTTTACTATATCACACAATTTGTGGTTCAGGAAATTGTGAAGGGACCAGAGCAGGGTGAGTGCTCTGCTCCAGGTGGTGTCCAGTGGGTTTACTTGGTTATGTTCTGTTAGCAGCTGGGCTGGTTTGGAGGGTCAACAATGACTTCAGTTACATGCCTGGTGTCTGGGCTGTGATGGCTGCAATAGCTGGGAATTGGCTGCCATTGTTGTCCCTCCACATAGCCTCTCCATGCGGCTAGCTTGGCTTCCTCTCAGCTAGGTGTCTTAGGGTAGCTGGAAGTCTTAGATGGCAGCTCAGAGCTCCAGGAGCAAGTGCTCCAAGAGACTAAGGCAGAAGTTACAAGCATTTTAAAACCTAGTCTCAGAAATCACAGAACACCACTTCCATTGCAATCTATTGCTCAAGCAAGTTACTAAGTTCATCCCTGAAGAGAAAGGAAATTGGACTCCACCTCTCAATGGAAGGAGTAGCAAAGAATTTGCATTCATTTTTAATTGACCACACACACCTTCCCAGAGACTGATCAAGTTTTCTTTTATTCCTTTTTCTCTTTATTGATTTGAACATATCTGCTATGTGGAGCTTCCCTGCATAAACCAGACCTTTTGCGGTTAGGCAAGGCCAGGTGACTAGTTCTGACCAATATGAGTTCTCCACTTTGTGTGTGAGTTGGACAATGTGTATTGAGTTGAAGGACCCGCAGAATCCAAACAGCATAGGCAGTTGAGTTGAGTCACCGCTTAAACAACCACTCTCCTCCTGGAGTAAAATTTACAGGGCCAAGAAATCCTGACCTCTGGGCTGAACATAAGTATCTCAAGAGGACTTCTGAGTTATCACCCTTGGGATATATGTGGAAACAAAGGGATATTTGATGACCATAAGGATGGACTGCAAGGTCGACAGTACTTCTCATCAAACATCTTATATGCACCCCTAAAGTGCACAGCGAGTCCCCCTGCAGTGAGGTTGTCCATGATGGATGTTGCCTCCCAGGTCAAGTGTAGAAGAGAGGCTGTGAGCTCCCCACGTGCTACCTTCCCTTTTGGGATAGTGTGGAAGCCATATGATGACATGGCAGGAGAACACAGTCACTTAAAGCCACCAAGATTGCTGAGGCACAGCATGGAGGGTGGCTGCCTTGAAGAATTGCCCAACTTACAGCAGAAATTCTAAGAAATGAATTGCTTGTGTAGGTCACTGAGATTTTGTATTTGGATATCACCATAGCTAAACCCAGCCTGGCCTCTCCAATACACCAGTCCATTTTTATTGTGTGAAAAGCTACCCCTAGAACTGAAGCATCCTCAGTTGATTTAACGACATCTAAAGTTAATCATTGTCTCTACCCTCCTCCCAAACAATAAAAGTACCTTTGAATTCTTAATTCTGATCACCACTTTCTCTTGCAATGTTATTGTCACCCAACATTTCAGTTCCATCTTTATTTATAACCTCAATATTGGCCATTTTTATCATGATTATTGTATGAGACAAAAATTTGTTTAGATTTACCTACAGATTGAGCAATTTTTCTTACCCTTCATTGATGCATTATACTCCTTTGATTTGGGTTTCATTTCCTCCACTGAAGCAAGTCTTATTTCAAAGTAAGTACTTAGTTCAAAAAGAAAGGAAGTTAAACTTTCTAAATTTCTCTTATTCTGAAATGTTTTTATTTCACTTTCACCTTTGAAAAATTGTTTAACTAGGAATAGAATTCTAGGTTGTCGGCAATTTTCTCTCAGCGTTTTAAACACGTTATGTCACTGTCCTCTATACCAAGGGTCAGCAAACTTTTCCTTAAATGGCCAGATGGTAAATATGTTAGGCTTTGTAGACCATATGGTTCCTATCACAACTACTCAACCGTGCAGTGGTAGCATCAAAGCAGCCATAAAAATATGTAAATGAATGGGCGCTCCAGTAAAACATTATTGGCAAAAACAAGTCTCTGGACCATGAGTGGAAGTTTGCTGATCCCTGCTCTATAGTTAGAGTTGAGAAGACTGCTCTGAGTGTAATTGTCGCTTCTCTTTTAAAGTAATCTGCGTTAGGTTCTCGTCTTTGTCTTTGGAGATCAGTATCACGGTGTGATTTATTTTACAAATGAGTCCTCCTCAGAACTAATGCTTCCCGAATCTGAGGAGTAATATCTTTACTGAGTTCTGGGAGAATTGCAACTGTTACCTCCTCAAATATTATCTCCCTTCATTATTTCTGCTTTTCAAGTCTGGAACTCATTTTCAATGTATGTTAAAAATGTTCTTCTAAGCAACACATCACTCGTATTGTTTCATACTTTCTATCTTGTTTTTCTCTGTGCTATGTACTATTTAGATGTTTCTTTCGTTCAGTAATTCTTAAGCTGTGTCTAACACGCTGTTTCATATACTGACGATTGATTTTTTATTTCTAGAAGTTCTCTTACTTCCTTTAAAAATCTGCCTTTCTTTTGCATAGTATTTTGTTCTTTTATATGTTTTTTTAATTTTATCTTGTGTGCCTGTAATCATTTTATGAATATTTTTATAGTGTTTATTATGATAGTTTTATCACCTGGCATTTTTGAGGGTCTAATCCTACAGTTACTGCTTCTAGACTTTCATACGTGGTGAATTATTTCCTCCTGTACTGATTGTAGACTGTGAGTTAATCAGCAGCAGCATTTTATCTATGGGTATTATGTGAGCACATGTCCCTCCAAATAAGGCTTGCATATACTTCTGCCAGAAATCACATAAAAATGTGCCCTATAACCATTTGGTATGTTAATTTCTCAGCGTGGGAATTACTGTACTACTCCAATAATACAAGTGTGAACCCCAAATCTATGTCAGTTGCAGACAGAATATTATGAATTCTAAGACAGGCATTTTCTCCATTCAGAGCTCAGACTTAGACAGACAGGTTTCACGGAGGTTGTAGGTCTTAACATTTCTGATTTGATGTGTGAATCTCAGTTTCAGATACGCTCCTGTCTAGGGCCCAAAGACACACCTCTTCTCCTTCCCTGTTATCAGCATTAAAACCAAAGCCCTTGAGCCTCCAGCAGCAGCAGCAACTTCCCCAGAGCTGAGCAACACAGTCATCTCACACCGCCTGTTTGTCATTTCCTCTTTCTTTTTAGTCCCCTGTATAGTTCCCTCACATTTTTGCTTTGTTTCTGTTTTGCTTTTTTTCTTAAAAAAAACCCATGCAATTTAAAGGATGTTTGTTAGGCTTTGTCCAGCCCCCTACATGTTGTGGGAAGACAGGATTTACAAGATGTATATTCTGCATTGTCAGAAGAACTTTTGCTTCTCTAATATTTATTGGTTCAATCTTGCTTTGGAAGCCATCTAAAGGTACAGTGTAAACGTGTTCTCTTTAGAGATAACAAGCTTGGATTTAAATCCAATCTCTGACACTTGTTCATTGTTTATTCTTAACCTTACTGAGCCCAATTGCCTCCTTTATGAATCAAAATAGTAAATCCTATCTTTATCAGTCAGTTCAGTTGCAGGGAAAAAAATATTTTAACTGTCTAAAGAAGTAAGGAATTCCATCCAGAGAATTAGATGCTTACGAAAGTGTTGGCAGAGCCAGAGCGGCTGGCTCTAGACTTAGCCTCTGGGATTGATGCCCAGAACTGGAGAATCAGCCCCTCAGAGGAGCTGCTGGCTCAGGAAGCATGGTGTTCTCTGTGATGCAGGATCAGGAAGCCACTGCACTGAGACGCAGCCGTGCTGCACCTACCAGTCCATGTAAACAAAACACAACCCCGATGGACACCCTCAGCCTTGCCTCTGGACACCCACTAGTGACCAGGCACTGGAAGGCAGCTGGTAACAAAGGCAGCAGGTCAGCCAGAAGGTCAGCACCCATACCATCTCTGCCCTCCAAATCTGTGTAAGGACTTCTGATTGGAATAATAAATCATATTCAGAATTCTGTCTGCAGTGTAGTGTGACAAAGGTAGGATCTAGCTTTCAAGCCTCTGCAGAACTGGATGCTGAGAGAGACAATTTGTGCTATCCACCCAAGGCTGAGCAAGGAAACAATGAAACAGTGTGTGTGAAGTGATGGCACTGAGCCTGGCATACAGCAAACGCCCTTTTAGCTCCCAGTGCCCAGACTGTCTCAAGGCCATTGCCCAGTGAGGCAGACTCTGTGCCATCTCAAACTTTCCTCTGGCGTGAACATGTGGGGCTCACTCTCTTGTGCAGGCGTTAATTTCACCAAAATTTGACTGTTTTTCTGAAATAGACTTGAGGTGGTGATTTAGAAACTAAACCTGTGGTTCCCCTCCACAGGGTCTCATTACTTGGCCAGCCAGACGGGGATTAACGCACCAACTATAGCAGCTGCAACATCAACTCTGAGGGCTGTCACTGGGTTCAAAATATGGGAAGTAGCACTGTTCCAAATGGTGGCCTGCATTGCGCCTGCGTTACCGGGGCACAAGTCCCCAACAACCACCATGGTGGTCCACATACAGGGCCAGCCAGGAGAAGGCCACGCTCCTCAGTTGGAGCCGTCTTTCCCGCCGGTTGGTATGAAATGCTTCCCCAAGTACCTCCCTCTGCTAAAGACATATTCTTTGTTGGGTATAATGTGGAATTTTGCATGAAGGGGAAAAAAGAGCTTAAACACTCTAGTTGAAAGTATTTGATGTAAAAGAAATACACTAAAATAATATAAAATTGAAAATATAATAAAATAAAACTTCCCCAAATACCCTTCTCCTAACACTGTGAAGTATACGATAGCAAATTATTAGTAGTAGGCCAGTTAGATAATTATGCGTATGCATAACTATGCAATTATACTCTGAAGGGTTTCAGTGTAGGAGAACATGAGGGACAAAGAGCAGAAGAGGATTCTATGCTGCATGACTCACCGTGGCATCACCCATCTCATATGTGGCCCCCATCAATAGCTGTCCAAATCAGGCTGTCACAGAGAGTCCTCTGGTTCAATATTTCCATGTCATCTCATCTAATTCCCATAGTGACTTGTGAGGCAGGCACAGGCCACTTACTTGACAATTTAGTTTGTTCCTGGAGACAGCTGCAAGTCTGGACATTTTAAGGTAGAACTTGTCTCACATGGGTGTTAGAGATCTGGCCCAGAAATCAATTTTGCCCTTACAAAAATAATAGAATTGATTACAAAAAAATGAATGAGAAAAATAAGGCACAGGCATATGTTTTGCAAAGATGTATAAAGACTTTATGGCCAAATATTCAATATATGTAACATCACCATCTTTGGGGAGACAGGGGTTCCTGCCTGCATTATACTGGCTGGAGCTTCTTATAACAAACCTAGTGAAACAGGACTCAAGATGACATCTCCTCTTCCTGGTAAATCTCTTCTATTCAGCCTCCATTCAAAATCAGGATCATTGTCTCAAATCTTCTCTTTGCCAGCTGGATGTTCTCCCTTGCCTCCAAAGTCAGGGAACAAATGGCAAATGCCGGACCAGAGATATTTCCATCCAGCTCCTCCTAAAATATCTGACTCTGAACACATTTGCATCTTTTCTGGGGATACTCATAGGGTGTCCATTGACTCTAGCATTAGCACTGTAG